GAATTTGTTGATATAAGTTAACATTCATGATGCCATCAATCTTACAATAACCACCAACACCACGAGATGTAAAACATGCAGCGAACGATTCGAATCTTATAAAAAACAAAACTAAATTAGAAGAAAGTAATATACTCCCAGGCTTTTTCTAGCCGCGTCCCCATAAATAGAGAAATACATTATCGCTATTTATCATTCTTATCTGTCACAAATTAGAATTAATTTGTGGTCATTTTTACGAATTGCTAAATAGAATATTAGGATCTAGTGATTTTCTGGATATCATGACATTTTTTGTATGTTGATTTTGAAAAAAAATAAATGAATGATCAAAAAAAAAAATTAAAGAACCAAAAAAAATCTTAATAATAACCCATAGATAAAAAATACATATATATATTAATTAAAAAAATTAAAGGAAAAAGAAATCCATAATGATACTATACCGCGCGCCGCGAAATCTTAGAACCTAGATCGCTGGGGGAAGTAAAAAAATTTTTTAAAAAAAAAATGAAGCAATGAAATTGAAAAAAAAAAAAATTTCTCGTACTTCCGAACAATCGAAGAAAATAGTAAATAAGAAAAAGAATTAAACAGCAATGAAAGAATTTAAAAAAAGTGCAACACCACTAAAGGATGAATTCCAACACTTATCTTTTTGTATTTGAATTACCTGCCCTTGTAGTGTATATGAAGCTAGATCAGACATCTAATCATCATTTAATATAAAATTTATAAATACAACTTTTTGATAAATAAAAATTTATTTCTTGTCAAATTATTTTTTTTTATGATTGTCCGTGTTCAAATTTTCAAATTGTAATGAAAAAGATCGGTACTCCATAAATAAAATCGATTAATCGATACCGAAAATCGAATCTTAGAATCAAAACTTGAGAAACGATTAATCGCGATTAATCGATTCTAAAATCGATTCTACTTTTTTGAATCGATTCAACTATCATTACCTTTCGGTTTCATGATTTGAATAAGATAATCGAGATTTCGAACTTACCGGAAGTATGGTTTATTCAAGTTCTCGGTATTCTGATTCATATTTTATTGTCGAGTTTCTGTGTTTTCAGACCAAACTCAAGCATCTCATCCGTTGGCGTGGGCAACGGGAACTTACTAGTTAGGATTTAGTGGGCTGAGATCAATTGACAATAATCCATGATTGTAACAAACTTTCTCATATAATAGTTATTTTGTATTATTTATTTCATGGGGGGTTAGGAATATTATGGTTTTTTCCCTTCGGGAAAAAATCATGGTATCCCATGAAATAAATGGATAATCCCCAGGAGCGTCACTCATTAAACATATCTCGTGATTATGCATGATTAGCGAGTTAAACTTTTTTTAGCGATTTAACTTTTTTAGTGATTTAAAACTTTTTTTTGTCATTATTTTTTTCCCATGCTTCATTTTTTTTTCCTTAAATTTGTTCTTTCTATTTCACATTATTCAACTTATTTTTCTTTTTACATTAATAATGACAACGCGATTTGTTTCATCATCAAGAAATGTAAATACAGACAAATCTAACAATGTGTGGATAGGTTTATTTATTAAGTTTCGTGAAACCCGTGGTTATCTAAATGAAATTGTTGAGTTGGATAATAAAACATTATCTGAACAATTAGAACAATTTTTAGTATAAGTAAGAAAATCTAATGGTCAAGAATATAAAGCATCATCACTATATACTGGATTTTGTGCATTGGCAAGAGGAATTTCTGAAATATTTGAGAAAATTAGAGTTGTGAACTTATTTGATACTTCTCAATTTAAAGTTTACATAGAACTTTGAATGGTCATATGAAATTAATTGCTAATCAAGGACAAAATAATCGAAAACAATCAGATCCCTTAAAAATTGATGAAATCAAATTTATACTTAACTCACCTATCACCAAAACAGATACTCTTAAAGGTCTTTTACGAAGGGTTTGGATCTGATTAACTTTATTGTGCTATTTAAGAGGTGGTAATACTAAACGATTAAAAGCTTCTTGGATTATTGAAATGGATGATGGTAGAATAAAGCTTGAATTACCTAAGGAAAAGAATCATGCAGGAGGAATTAAAGATCCATATACAGCATCTGGTACAAGTTTTATACAACCTGATACTTCAGGAAACATTTATACTCCTGTTGCAGATATCCAAAAAATTCTTGAGAATGACTATTTCTTTATATCAATCAATACACCAAAAATATATATAATAGTAATTGGTATTGAACAACAAAGTTAGGAAAAAAATCACATAATATAATGATACGTAGTATATATTCTAATTCTAGTTTAGATTTTAAAAATTGTAACATTACTAATCATTCGATGAGATCAATAGGTATTCAATCTTGTTAAATCTGATATCACACTTGATGAGCAGATGAATTTTTCAAGACATAAAACAATTGCAGGAGTATCTGCCTATTAGCATCAATCTATCAAGCGTAAACAAGATAATGCTTCTCTTCTAATTCCTATTAAAGATGAGGCATTAAAGGATTCAACAAATCAATTCAGTATATAAACAAACATTTATTAAAATTATTAATTTTATTGTTTAAAATTAACTATAATTTTTTTTAGGATTTTCTAAAGCATCTAATCTAATTAAATGATATAACAATAATAACTTTGTAAAAAATAATAAGTTAAATGATGATTTAACATGTCAAAAATCAAAAATTCCAAAAATTTCTGTAGAAAATTGTAGTAATATTACTTTTAAATGCGATTAATAAGTTTATTAGAAATTATATTCTTATAATATATAATGAAAATATTAGTTAAATATTAATCAAATAAAATTCAAATAAAGAAGTTTTAATACAAATTATTAAGTTAACGTAGAGTTATTAGCAGTTATCAGCTTTAATTATAGTCACTTTAGGCTTCAATAAAGTTATTCTCATAGATATATTTTCTTATTAACTTAGAAATTGGTTATGAATAGTACCTATCCTTAAAGATCAAAATAGCTGCATTCATAATCAGACCTGCTTCTTGTTTTCTAATACTTTTTAAAGTGGAGTTATTTACTATTGCAATGTTCTGAATGCTCAACTGTGATAATATTTATCTATTGTATTTTTAACTATTCTATAAATTATGAATGATTTTTAAAAATATATTGTAATTAATAACCTATAATAAAATAAAAGTTTTCATGTATATTATAATTAGAATTATTTGTGCAATAAATTTAATATCAACGTTAATGATAAGGGATGAAATCCCTTAATAACAGTCAAAACTTAGACAAAAATATATTAAAATCATAATAAGGAATACGATAAAACCCTTTCAATATAATAAAAGCTGAAACCATCGAAACTATATTAAAATATAGAAAAGGATATGATGAAATTATTTTGAAAAGGTTTTAGCAGGCATCTATAATCAATGTATATTTTCTTTAGATTTTGCATTGATTAGTGTAGAATTTATATAACTGAAGATTTATTTTCTTCAGTTAATTATTTCACCAAATTTATCTCCTTCAAGTATTTGTATCCAGCTCCTTAAATATTTCACAAAGTTTTAATATTTTGCATCGCGGTCTATATCTTTTACCATAATCATCTATCAAAATGTAGATATTTCATGCTTTATAAAGACTTAAATGAATTATGAAAATTTCTTTTTTGAATAAAATGTGTTCATTATGTACTATGAATGAGATTACTATATTAAAATGATCTTATCATTATTTTTCTAAACAATTCTCTATATCAATGAATATGATATATATTTGTTTAAAAGAAATCATTTTAATGTAAAGATCTCAAGTATACAATAAAACAAGTTAAATATCACAGAATATGATATATCATAATTAAGGTTGCTGGGCAAAACCCGGAGGTTTCAACAGGTATCAAAATTGAAACCCTTCGAAACGTTTTGCCAAATTTTTTTCTTAAAGGTAAAACTGCGAAAATTTTGACGGGTGGCAAAAGTTTCGACAGATGGCAAAAACCCATTAATATTAAACTACAATTTTTTAACTTTAAAAATTTATTTTGAGTTGAGAAAATCATTTATAGCAAAATCATTCTTTGATTTTATTTATAATATCATATATTTATTTATAAAAAATAAGAAAAAAAAAAAATTTACATCTTGAAATCAAATTAAATTTATTCTTCATCAAATCCAATTACATCATTTATCT